AAAAGACTGGATGGTACTGAATATGCAGGGCCCAAAAGCGGCCACGACACCACCAGAGACATCTCGTACGCAATACTGAACTCATAAGCTTCGCCGCCACATCTGCAGGTGGTAGCGTGAACACAGGACAACACCATAGCCATCTCGGTACAACATACGCACCAGCAGCTCGTAGTCGAGTCCTCGAACTTCCAGGCAGCTGTCGCAAGGCGGCGATGGCTGCATACACCTTCCTCCAACCTCCCGCTGGGGTGACGGGGGCCGTGGGATCATCTGGCACCGCTTCGACTCCGATATGCTCGATGCGACGAAACTCACCACGATGCCATTCTTGACGCTTACCTTTGTTCTCCACGGCCCCCGTCTCGAGGTCGAAACGGTCGGTCATGTCGATGTCGTTGCGTAACTGCTGGTCCGACTCGCACACCAACGAGCGATCGTCCATGAACAGGAACTGCTCACCCTCGACCTCCCATGGGGCCAAGACGGAGCAGAGCACCTTGGGCGCGCAGGAGTCGCCCTGCGCCAGTCCTCGAGATGGCCACACCTCCTCCTTAGCAAGAGCCCCGGCCACCTGACATCTTCTCGGCCCCGTCCACGCAGCAAAAGATACCGCCACCAGGTCCGATGGCACATCTGCAGCATGAAGCGACGCAATCCCCACCTCGTGGGGGACCTGGTCGTAGCACTTGCTGAGGTCACGCTCCATGCCCGCCTGAGCGGTGATGCACGCTTTCAGCCAACTACACACAGCTTGACACACTGATGACTCCGTCTTGCAAGCATACTGGGCTGCCTGCGGGAAGGGAAATGCTTCTTCACACGCTGTCAACCAACTTCTCAGCAATACACTCGCCACCCCAATCGGTCGCGATGCTCCACACTTCTTCGGGATACCCACAACTCTCCAAGAGAAAAGTAGCTTCTGCAAGTTCACCACATCCTCGGACCTCTCCTCCTCCGTGTGCTACTGGGCATCGTCGTCAACATCTCGACAGTCTCCCTCTCGGGCAAGCCAGCAAGTGTCTGGGTGCGCCACGGCTCGATCCGCCTGGGGATTCTGGCCAGGGCCGAGCCCTGCACGGGTATCGGGGTAGACGTAAGAGGGTCGCAAATTGTCTTTCGCCGCGCTCGGCCTCCTGGGGCCCCCTTCCTGGCCCTGGGGCTGCCAGAAGAGGACTACGAGGACGAAAAGCAGTTCCGGAGAAGCGGCCTCGGGGCCCTGGGGGACAGGACCGGTTTCCTCCAGGATCTTTCTCTTCATGCCAAAAAATACGACGGCGACGGCGACGCCGACGGCGAGGACGACAGCGGCGGCGAGGACGGCGAGGGCGGCGGCGGGGCACGGCACAGATCGACGGCGGGCGGCCGCGGCGAGGATCGGCGGCGGCTGCGAGGGCGGTGGCCGCCGCGGCCCTTTTTCGTGTCGGGGGGGGGGGGGGCAGATCGCCAGCGCTCGCTGGCAGCGCCGCCTGGACGCCCGTGGCGTGCCCCAGCCTCAGACGCTCGCTCGGAGGGGGGGGAGCCAGCCGAGACAGCGGCGGCCCTCCCTGGCGTCCCTCGTCCTCGTCTGGCCCTCCGGAGGCGTCCCGTCGCCTCGGCCGGACCCGCACCGGAGGGCGGGCCTTCCCCGGCACGTTTGGCTCTCTGCGGTGCCTTCAGGAGGCTTTTTCGTCGCCTCTGCCAGACCCGCCCCGAGGAACGGGCTGCAGTCGGCTCTGATTAGTAGGTCGACCCTGCCACATTGAGGGTACCCTCGTGTCCTGGGTCGCTTGACCCGTGCCCTTTCGCATTCTTGTGGCAACGTTGCCCTCGGAAGGGTCTTGTGTCCTGCCGCGCGTCCTCTCCAATCGGGTCCGACTGCAGGACGGACCCCGGGAGGGGCCCGAAGCCGATCTGAGCGGGTGTGGGGCCAGGAGGGCCGCCGTCCTCTCGGCAGGCCCTCCTCCGACAGGCGCTCACGGAGGAGGGGAGCCAGACGTCCTCTCGGAAGTCCCGCACGGTGCGGTGACATGCACACGCACACGCGCACACACACACACACACACGCACACACACGCACACACACGCACACACACGCACACACACGCACACACACGCACACACACGCACACACACACACGCACACGCACACACACGCACGCACGCACGCACGCACGCACGCACGCACGCACACGCACATGCACATGCACACACGCACACACGCACACACGCACACACGCACACACGCACACACACACACACACACACACCGTCGGGCGAGTTCGCGAGGATTCGGGGTGACCAGTTCCTCCTGTTCCTGCGTTCTTTTCCTCCTGCTCGTCCTCTTGCTCCTCCTCCTCCTCCTCCTCCTCCTCCTCCTTCTCCTGCTCACTAGGCTCCCTGCCTGTGGGATCGAGAGGCCGAGGGTCGAGATGCCTGGACGCTCCTGGCGGTTGTCGTCGTTGCGGCTGGACGCAGCCCGAGAAGTTCGACATCCCCTCGCTTCCTCCTTGTCGCTCGAGGTTCGTTGTTTGAGGTTGGTGGACGTTTTCGTCGGTCCCTGCATGTGTTCCAACTCCAGGCTGCTCTCCAGCAGGTGCGCTTCGCCGAGAGCGAACCCCTCTGGAATCGAGAGGCCGAAGGTCCAGGTGTTTGGGCGTTTCTGGTGGCTCTCGTCGTCACGGCTGGGCGCAGCTCGAGAAATTGGCCAGGATGGACCACAGGAGGGGTCCGTGGATCGAGTTTGACAGATATTGGTCGACCCCCCGCGTCGTAAAAACACGCGACGAGAGGTTCTCTACAGCCTTCGGCCTCCGGGGGCCCTCGCGAAACCCCAGGACCGGAAGTCGGCACCTCGGGAGGAAAACGCCAGCCCCGTGCAAGGGGTCCAGACCTTTGGGGGCCCGCTCTGAGAAAAGACGTAGATGTCACGACGTCGGAGGTATGGGCCCGAAGGGTCCTCGAAATCCAAGCGTTGCATTTTGTTTCACGCCAGGCGCCTTCGCTGTCGCCCAGCTGTCTGATCACGGCACCCGTGCGGGTCGACACGCCTGGAGAAGTGTCGCGGAGAGATGGTGCCGAGGGCTACGGTTTCCACGAGGTTGCATGGATTCGTCACGTCGGATCTCAGCGAATGAGTTGTTCATTCCTGGCGTGTATCAGCGATTCGGCCTCCAAGGCCGGTTTCGGAACCCGGGGCCATCAAACATAGATCTGGAGCGCGAATTCATCCAGGGGCAGCCGTCTGGAGCTCTGGGGCCACGGATCCCTTAGCATCCGATGTTGAGTCAAGTTATCTCTTTGTAAAACGATGTCCACAGAAGTTCTGACCCTTCCGCCGTGGTGGGGCTTTTCATCCTGAGTAGTCTTCCTGACGGCCCAGAGCCCGACTTCGGCCCCCAGAAGTTGCGTGAGAGTGGCCGAAGACCTCCTCGGGAGAGCTCCCGCCTTGGCTGCTGCTCGAGACGGTGGATGTCTGAGCTCGCATCGGTTGTCTACACTCTTCGGAGGATGATAGACCTCCTACCCTGACACGTCGGTTAGTGAATTGGCCGTTTTCGGTTCGCGACAGGGCGTCGCGGCCGTCATTTTTGCGGGTCCCGGTCCGTCGGTTTCGGTCCCAGGCCGTTTCCGCCAAAGGGTGGTTGATTGAAGGGAGGTTCGTCCACCGCCGAAGTCTCGTGCGCCACGCATGCCGACCACCGAGGCCTGGGCAGCCCCTCCATCGCTGGGAGGGCCCGCTGCCGCGGCGGCTTCTCGCCGTCGCCCCCCGCCGGTGCTGCCGCCGGCAGCCCCGAGACGGGCGGCGGGCCGCCGTGCGGGGCCCCGGCGCTGCTGCCCGAGGACTGCTGTGGCGACCACTGCAGGCTCCAGGGGCAACGCCAGGGGGGGGTACGCAGCCTCGGGTGGGAGGAGGAGGAGGAGGAGGAGGAGGAGGAGGAGGAGGAGGAGGAGGAGGAGGAGGAGGAGGAGGAGGAGGAGGAGGAGGAGGAGGAGGAAGGGGGAGGGAGGTGAACTGGGGGGGGGAAGCAACGACCCCCAGTCGCCCATTCCTCGTCGATCTGGCGCCCCGGTTGCCCATCCCGCGCAGGCCCATATGCGCATTCGCCAGCGGGGGGCTATCGCCCATCCACCTGCGAGGGTGCAGTCGTGGCGCTGAAATGCGGTCCACTTCGGGCTCGGGATGGGCCTGGTGGTTCCTTGGGTCTGCTTGCGTTCCCTCGCAACTCTGGCCAGGATGCTTCGGCAGAGGGAGAACGAGAGGCAACGACGAGGGAACGCCTCCCGAAAGGGGCTCGGCCGCTTCTTAGAAATGCACGACTTGGTTCTGAACGAAGGGGTCTCGTTCCTTGTCCAGCGCTCCTTCTGGCAGTGCCGTGGCTGCATCTCCGATTCCCGCCCGATATTCCCACCCCTGAGCCCGTCTCCCTCTTGCTCCGAGGCGGGAATTTATCCATGACCACCGTCTGGAGGGTCAGTCTTCGGAGCCTCGGCAGGCGGTGGATGTGGACATGTTCGGGCCCCTCGGGGCCGAAGTGTATCCATACCCACCGCCCGCTGGGGCACCAGGACGTCGGTTCCCAGGCGGTGGATATGGATATAAAACCCCGCCTCGCACTTACAACCGGGGCCCTGCAGAAGGAACCCTTTTCGTTGGGGAGGGGCTCGGTGTTCCTTGATTGTTCTGCAGTTTGCCTTCTGTTTTCCTGAGGTTTCCCATGGGAAATCGAAGCTCAACTTATGGGAGGAAGGGGCCCTGTTCCTTATTTAGGGTTCCTTAGGTCAACGCCCCGACGGTACGTGCCCCCCCTATCGCAGGCTGCTGGTCTTCGAGGACTGACTGGCAGCCTCGCCGTGGCAGGGGAGCCCCAAGAGCTCGCCGCCTGGCCCGCCAGTTTTAAGTCGGGCACGTCCCTCTACAAGAGGAATATTCGAAAATAGTAAAAAATAGTCTGGGGACGATTTGTTTTGCCATCTTTGAGTGCATTTGGAATACTTTTTGATTATGTCTTATCTTTCGTCCAAAATCCCCCTCTATGGGGGACATGCCCGACCCAACGCTAGTTCTGATGGCCCTCGTTAGTCGTGGTCTCCGAAGGCGTGGCCCGAGCGTGTGGGGTCGGAGGATTGCGCCGCATCGCCGATGCATCGGCGATGCGGCGCGATCTGGAGGCAATCTGTTTCGTCCCGACATCGCTGGTACAACGGCGATGCATCGGCCATGCGGTGCGAGCCTCCGGCCCCATCTTGTTCTGGGCCTGTCGCGGAGGCCTCCAGCTATTTCAGAGGAGCGAGAGGTAATGACCATGACGCGCTCCAAGATTCCACTTTCATGTCATCCCGCGCGGCCATCGACGAATGGCCAAGCACGAGTGGCCGAGGACCACCAGAAGCCCAGGAATCCCAAGAGCGCATCACGAGCCAGTAGCATCATGGCATTCCTCTCGCCCTGCAACTTGTCATTCAAGACGCGTCAGGGCGCCGCGCGGCGCGCGTCAGGGTCGGCCCAGCCCTGCCCTTTCCGCAAGCCCCATTCCCTCCCGCTCAGCCTGCAGGCCTGTCCGCCTCAGCCCGCTGCCCACAAAACGCAGTCGCTGGGGCGCGCAGACAGCAGCGCGTCGAGGCCTGGGCCGCAGACCATCACCTCCAGAGCCATCCGCAGACCATCACCCCCAGAGCCATCCCCGGACATGCTCGCGCTCTGCAAAAGTCGTGGGTGTGGGTCGGCCGTTTTCGGACTCCGGGAGCCCTTGCGGGGCCCCAGGACCTTCCACAACGACCCTGAATGAAAAACCAGCCGTGGGGAATGGTTCGGGGTTTTCAGGGGCCCCGTCTTGAACAAAGCAAGGCATCGCACGTCTGGGAGATCATCACCCCCAGAACCATCCCAACCCCTCCTGGGACAGGGCGAGGTGATTCGCTCTCCCAGCGTGCCCCCTCGAAGTGGGGATGGGCGCTGCCAGCCCCACATGGGAGGGGTCGGCCGGCGCAGCCAAGGTCTCCGCGCGGGGAGGGCTCCGGTTGTCCAGAGGGCGCGCGTGCGCCGATGCGAGGCCGAGCGCACGCCCGACTCCCTCTGGGCCAGCACCAGTGCGCGCCTGTCGCGGCGGCGAGCGAGGGGGGGGAAAGTGGGAAGGAGAAGGCCTTCTCGGAAGGCGGCGGGGCGTCTCAGAGGGCGCGAGGCCTTCCGAGAAGCCCCTGCGTGCCTTCGGGGGAGGCCCAGAGAACTTCTCCGAAGACCGGGGGGCGTCCGAATCTTCTGAGAAGGCCTGCTCCTTCTCACGCCCCCCGCTTGCTTTGTGATGCGCACGCGCGCCTTTGCAGACAGAACCCAGGAAACCAGCGTTATAGGCAAAACATTGCCGACACATGGGTTTCAGCGGAAGGAGGTCGTAATCATTCTCGAGGTGGGGGCGGTAATTACTCTCGAGGAAGAACATTGCCGAAACATAGGTTTCATAGATTCCGATGTTATTGAGATCCTCCCTCGCCGCCGGCTGCTGCCCAGAGCAGGCCTCCTCCACGGGGGCGGCGCGGGGGCGCGTTGCGGCAAAGCGCCCCTTCGCGCGTCGTGCGGCGCCAGGCGCGCGCTCGGGACACGGTATCCGGTGCGTCCTCACACGGGGAGTGGCTTCCTTCCTCCTCCTCCTCCTCCTCCTCCTCCTCCTCCTCCTCCTCCTCCTCCTCCTCCTCCTCCTCCCTCGCCTCACCAAACACCAAACGTCTGGCAATATGATTGTTTCAATGCGCGGTCCCAGAGACCACGACCCATTCCCAGGGCGAGCTTCCACCCCATCTTTGGATGGTCCTGGGGCACGATGCCACGCCAAGGAGGCCCAACTCGCAAAAAAAAGGCCAGTCGAAAAAACATGTCGCTGGTCCTTGGTTTCTCCCTTCCACCGCCTACTCATCCGCGGGAGTCGCCAGGGAAGAGGAGAGGGGGCGCGGTCTGGTCGCACCCATTCTCGTGCTGTGCCCTGCTGATCGAATTCGTTGCACCCGTTTTCCCCTTTTCAATTGGAGGCGGAGCAGCAGCAGAAGGACTCCCACCTCCTCTCGTTGCGGAAAATGTCACGACGGACGGACGGCTTTGGGCAACTTTCGGCTTCCAGGGGCCTTCACGGGGCCCCAGGACCGTGAAACAATTACTCAGAACCGATCCTGGGAAGGGGTCCAGATCTCCGAGGGACAGCATGTTCAACAAACGTCGTCGGAGTTCTGGGGAGGTGGAGGCGGAGGAGCGGGAAAAGGAGAAGGAGGAGGAGCAGCACGGAGGAGGTCCGTCCTGGCAAACTTTCCACCCCAAATCGTTTTCTTTCGGTCCCGGGACCTGGTATGGGCCCTCAGACGCCCAAAGCAAAGGACATCTCGAACCTCGGTTCTCGGCGCAAGTTACGATATTTACAGTTTGTTGAAGCAAGTCCGGGCTGGATGGAGGTATTGATGGATTCTGGACGGTTGGATTTACGTATCAATGTGCGATCGGATTGGCGTACGATCGGACGTTGTAGTGGGATGCGCGTGTATTCTTCTAGGGCAGAGCTTAAGCGCGCTGGAACCTAGGGGCGCGACAAGCGCGCGCGTGGTTGTGTGTAAGAGTATGTAGTGAAACAAGTCACCAGTTAACATCGGTCATGGTAACGAATGAACGCGCGTTATTAAAATGTTTGATTGAGGAACTTCTGATGCAGTTAAGTAAGACATGGATGTATGAAGTTCAGCCGCCGAATCAAAACAAGACAACACATCATTTAGTAAACGCAAAAGCCAGTTTACTAAATTCAGAACCGGAATTTCTGAATCCGGGGCCGTTTTCGGAAATCCATGATCTTATCGTTACCGTGACCTCAGTGGCTCGCTCAAGAGAGGCAAGCAATGGTGAGCTTGGAGACGTCTTGGGTCCTCCTTGGCAACCTCCGAAGAAGATCAACGCCGACGGCAGCAGACTACACCACGTCGACTCCACACCACTTCGCTTCCTCTTCCTTACGCGGCATACGCCACGTCTTAACAGTTCAACGGAGTTGAAATGTACACCGCTGTCAGCCGCCGTGCTGCCAGCTGCACCGGACAGTCAGCACAGGCCGATAGTTGATCGGCGACTCGCTCTCGTTAGCGGGGTGCAGCCCTTCTTTTTTTGCAGGCAGAGGCCAAGGGCTCAATGCTGGGCATTGGTGGCACAGGCTTCGCTGCACCCCGTCCACTGCATCATTCGCTGCCAGGGCACGCCAGATCCGGCAGGCCGATCCAGTTCAATTCGCTGCACGCGGGCCTGGTGGCGCAAGGAGAGCTCAGACGGATACCAGGGACGCTCAAGAGGGGGGTAAGGACCAGGGGTGTGTGTGTGTGTGTGTGTGTGTGTGTGTGTGCGTGTGTGTGGACATCCTGGCCAGGCCGATGGCGTCTCCCAGATTCCATGGCCCCTTCGTTTCCTCATTCTTCGGATGATTCTTCTTCATCTAAATATTATCATAATCCTTCTTCTGACTCTTTCAGCACGCCCCCTGGCCCCTCTCATCTGCGCAAATGCCCTGGGCCATGATGCGCACCCCGCCCTTATTCCTGGCCCCCCTCGTCGGCGCGCCCGGGAGATGTCTGACTGTCCTCTGGGCCATTCCAGAGGTCTCGGGCCCTCCGCAGATGTCCGCTCCGTCGGCACACGCCCACGAGGTACTCGGCGCGCGTGTGACTGCGGGGCACCTGCGGAGCGGCCGTGCACGTGAGCAGCGCGCGCTGTTTGGCAAATGATTTGAAGCCGCAGACATGCGGTCTAGCTGATTGCATGAGCTCTGGAGAGGCAACCATCTTGGACATTGTCCGTATCCAGCGCCTCCTAAACATCTCCCTCCCGCGCAGCTCGCGTTCCTATTTCCCCGTTCCGCCCTCCTCCATCCCGATGAAGTTTTCGCATCTCAAGCGGCATCCACCTTGCCGCTCTCCCGCTGGCGATGCATCGTTCTTCCCTTACCTCTAGGCATCGAGGTGCGCTCTTGGACATGTGCCTCTTGCTTCTGTATTCAGCTGTGCTTTCCCAATTCGAGTTCGTGGCCGTTTACTCGGCGGAGTCATTGGAGTAATGGGTCCTCTTCCTCTTCCTCTCCCTTTTTCTGCCTTGAGCCTCAGAAGTGCCGTGACACGGGAAGGTGGACCGTTTCGGGCACGGATTAAGGAGCGGCCCAGAGGGTGGCGTGTTCTCCACGTTTCATGTCGGATTGTGTTGGTACCAACGGCGTGCATATCGGCGCGCCGGACAGGAGGCGCCCGTTATGGTCGGACTTCTTCAGATGATAGTGACAGTGTTCGAATTGAGGCACTTGAAGTTCTGGACTTCCTGGATCACCTTACCAGCGTTCGAGATCAAGCGGCGACGGGCTCCGACCTCCTGCAGGGTGCTGCGTGGCGCCACGCGACCAAGCAGGGGCCAAACCAGGCAGATGTTGAAGACGTCCAAGGCAGAATCGCCCACACCAGGGACCGCGCGCCCGCTGACGCGGCCAGGCTGGGGCGTGGAAGTTGTCATTTGTCATTGGGGTGTTGTTGGGCTCTTGGCGTGGCGTTAAGAGAAGTAGGTTCGAGCCCTCAGTGTAAGCGTATGACAATACGTAAGTATGGGGCTTCACACACATACGATATACATACATACGTATATCAAAACATAAATCGTGAACACAAGCATCCCTTGCTATATCCTGTGCGCACATCAATCATCATCATTCACAGATCCGGCGCCGATGTCAAACCAGAGCAAGCTCAGCTGGCCACAAACAATTGCAACTCGAAGCCCTGCCTTGAAAGCGAAGCGATGGCTCATACGCACACACAAATATGTGAACATGTGTATGCATGCATGCATGTATGCATGCTCATAGATGACGATACCCAGTTTTTTGCCAAAACCAGAGCCAGTACACATGGCCCTCCATCCACGCTTGCCTGCGCAGCATCAAGCAGTGCGCGGAATCAGTACCAGTGGCCCTCCAAGGACTTTCGCCATACATGCTCTGGAGGCCCTCTTGCACTCGTATTGAAGCTATCTTGGGAGCCCTCCTGAGGCTATCCTTGAGCCCTGAGATGATCCCGCGAGGGTTCCAAGAGAGTCGGAGGAGGACACCGTGAATGCTTCCAGACCAACCGCAACAAATGGCATACAGTTGAGGACGTTCTGGCTGCCTTCTTGGTCCCATTCTAGGCCTTTTTCTATGGGGCTATTCCAAGAACTCCGATGCCGAAGACGAGGCGGACAGGAAGGAGGGTGTGCGGTGGGTGCGGGGTAGTGCGGGGGAGGGTGAAGGGGCAGCTCCATGAGGGCAGGCGCCCAGACAAGCCAGACGTGATTGTCGATTTGGACTTGGCCAACCGTCTTTTGACTTGATCGACTGGCTTTTCGCTCGATTCCAGGCCTCCCGGAAGTCCTGTCTGTGCCTCTGCCCTTTCAGTGGCGAGCTGGGTTCCGTCGCCATCTTGTGTTCGGATGTCGTCGGTTGCCCTTGTGGGTGGCAGAAAATCGAGGGAGCAAGAGGAGAAGGAGGAGGAGAAGGAGGGGGAGAAGGGCGAGGAGCAGGGGCAGGAGCAGGAGCAAGAGCAGGAGCACGAAGAGGAACAGGAGGAGGTGAAACTCAAGGAGGCCGCTGGAGACTGGATGCTTCAAGGCAACACAGAGGCCTCAAGAGACCACGCGAGGTACCAGGATGCTCCAGGATGCCACCCCGCGAGGGCCCAGGAGGCCCCATCGATCCGACAAAGGGAGGGGGGGGCGGAGGAGGGAGAATTGTGGAGGGAGGGCAACCAGGCGGCCGAGCCGTGCAACCGCGGACGGGAGCACGGGCCAGCAGTGGGCCACGCTCGCACGTGGACGGGCCAGGCCGTGCCTGCGCGAAGCGCGGCAGAGCAAACGTATCGAACAGCCCCCACAGGCAGCCCAGTCTTGGGATGCTTTCCGGCCCGAACTCGAGCGGGCTGGAAAGCATCCCAAGACTGGGGGGCTGGGGACACGGGGGCCAGACGCAGCCGCGCACCTCTGTTCGCGCGTCGATCCGTCGGAGGGGGCGGGGTCCTGCGCAGTTCCGGCGGCCGCGATGACCGGGGCCGCTCGAGGTCGCCCGCCAGGCGCCGCGTGTACGACTCCAAGCTCCCAGTTTCGGCTCGTTGCGGGCTGGGGGGTGCTCGGAGGGCCCTAGGCACTGGTCACCGCTGGGCCTGCACTTGGCGACGTGCCCAAAAGACGCCTGACAGGAGCCTCGCAGGGTGCAGACCAACGCTCCGCGGGTCACCATCACTCGGTGCCCATTGAACTCGACGATAGCTGCATCGATCGGCGCACTGACTCCCGCGGGCCCCTGATTCGCATGCTCGGAACCCGCGCCGCCAAGATCTTCGTCATAAAATTCTTACGCAGCGTGAGCAGCACGGGATCTGAGAAGAGGGGCATTCTGCTGAAGGGGGCCCTTTGTGCCTTCAGCCTCTGTTGGGCCGTAGGCGCACACGCCAACAGCAACACATTGTTGAGGCTAGCTGGGGCCCTGGCGATAGCCAAGCAATCTTTACATTGGGAAAGAGGGCTCCTCAGCCGCACGGTGCCTGGTGAGTCCCACTGGGGCCATGGGTGCGTGTACGTGTATTAAACGCGCGGGCATACCATTCAACGCATCTCGACGAGCCACCCTGCGCGCACGCCACGAGATGAACTTAGCCTCCGTTCGAGCGTCCTGAAGTGAAGAATACTCCCATACGACATCACCAACGTGTTGGCCACCGCGTGAACCAAAGATCCTGCCTTATCAAAGAAGTCAGCCCACTCATTGCCCAGAGAGTGCTCCCAGAGGTGCCGATCCATTTCCAGAAACTCTGCCGCCGTCGTGTGGGCAGGGCACCAGTAAAAGCCGGACGGCTGTTGCCTGTGCACCAGATTGGGCCAAGCACGCCAAAGGTCAGCAGACTGTGTTTGCGCATCCGCATGTGCAGAAGCCCACAGAGTACCCTCCTGAGCCGAGCTCGAGAGGTCAGTCACCACGAGAGAAACTGCAGGAAGGAGCTGAATGGCAAATAGCAGCACCATGCTCTCCGCACGGCCCACTGTCTGTATCGGCCCCGCGAGCGGGCCATGTGCAGCACGAACTGGGAGCCCGTTGCCGTCCAACTGCCAAACACCCCACCCACACCTCCGAAGTTCTGGCCACGAGGGGGCCATTCCAGGCCCATCCGTAAATACCACCGTAGTCCAGCTCATCCTATCAGGCCCCCAATCGCCTCAGAGAGTGACGGAGGCATCGTGAGGAACGTGTGGGGGGAATTGTGGGCACACTGGCATACACATACATGCGGCGATCCAGTCCCAGTCTGGAGGGCTAGGGTTGAACCCACGCTACTTCAGATATTTGTAGGCGTGGTCCACCTCGGGGGTCCCACTGGAGGTCCTCATCAAGGGCGTCCTGGTAGAAGCTCGGGCAGTCAAAGAGTGTGTGTCCAAACGTGGCCTTGCCATCCGAACACCATGCGCACCTGGCAGGTATGTTGTATCCTGCCTGATGCTGTCTGTGTTTGGTCCATATGGCGCCGGGCCACAACTTGCGAAGAGCACCAGCGAAGCGATAATTGTGGACAGCAGCCTTTCGCCCACCACCACATTTGCGTAGTAGGCGAACCCAAATCGTTGCATCCCCCACCGTTGATGTCTCTATGGTGTGCAAGTGTACGCCTAGACTGCCACCTGTCCACCCCCTGTCGAACCAACTCGCGTACATCCTTAGGAGGTAGGAGTAGCAGGTCGATGGCGTAGTTTCCATCATCATATACCAACGTACTAGAGGCCATCCTCCACCCAATACGTTCTAATGCCATCCAGAGTACCTCCAGGGGCCCTCGCGTATTCGACCATGCTTTACGAGCTTCGATGTTCTCCGCCAAACATGCCCATGCCGTCTGAAGTTGACCTAGCGAAACCCGTTGGTCCCGGACGAAGCTAGCATACGCCTTGACGGTTTCCACGGTAGCATGGTACATCGGATCGTATAGTCGATCACGTTGCGTGGCCAAGTACTGCGTTAAAGACGACGAGCTAGGCGCACGTCCGCACAACATGTCAGCAACGCGTCGCATCTGTGTGAGCTCAGCTGGACTGGCCCCCGACACTGCCACGCCATGGCCAGCAGCAGGAGGTAGGCCAGTTCGCCACACGGCCGTGACCTGATCAGCTACAGTTTTCTTGAGCATGCGTAGCAGAGGCAATCGATCGCGAAGTATGTCGGGTCGGACCTGGGCGTGTTGTCAAACAGGTCGAACCGAACACATCTCATGTCCGAGGTTTCGAATCAATTTCTTAGCTGTGAGCTTAAGCTGCCTCGCCTTGCTGCAAAAAAGAAGATCGCGCGCTTCGTGGTGGCCAGCAAGCCCGACTTCTCAGGCCTGGTCAGTAGGCCACTCCAGCGCAAAATCATGTACTGCACGATGCGGCTCCCCTGCCTTGCACAGGTCAGATCCGATCCATTGAGACGTACTGTCATCAAGAAGTGCACGTGGCAGGACATTGTGTGCTGCACATCTACACAATGAATAGCACGATACGTAAGGATGGTGCGTAATGTAGTAGCGGGCATGCAGCCAGCCAGAATGCCTTGTCCAGAGACCGCGGGTATGTTCCAGCTGCCATGTGCTGACCCAAGGCTGCATTTGTATCTCGGGAAGCAACCAGCTCAATCCCAGCGGAAACTGCACAGCTTGCGTCTCTCCAAAATCATGCGGGAAACAGCATCGTCACGAAGCACTTCCACATATCCAGAACACTTGTGATGGACTGCTCGCCTAATACATGCGCACCCTCAGCATGTAGATTCTGCACATT